ACTCCTACCGGCCCACCGGGCAGAACCTGCTGGACCTCAGCCGCTTCAGGGTGGCTTCCTGGGTCCAGTGGGCCGTAAGATACCTGCTGGCCCCCAAGGCCCCCGACAGTCCACCTGAGGTTAGCTGAGGTCGCCATGGCGACGGGGGCCCGTCATGGCGACGGGGGCCGGTCCACTGTTCGATGCCCCCCGTTCGTCCTCATGTTTTCAGGCGGTTTTCCGACCTTCTCCGGACTCTTTCGTCCTCCTTTTGAGGGGTTTCTGCTGTTTTAAATCTGTGACTTTCGGTTCTGAAAGATTTTGACGCGTTCCATGCTGCGAGTTTTGAAAAAAAAAAACGAATAAATGAGTGACTGGAGGTGGTTGTGGCTTCATTGGAGCGTTAGCATGGTAGCGCATCTCGATGCAGGTGAAAACGGGCCAGAAAACAAGCCAAAAACGGGTGTGAAACAGGCCGACAATGGGTGGGAAAACGTGCTGAAAACGGGTGGGAAACGGACAGGTAGTAGCTATTCTGCCGCACCAGGTGGAAGCGCATCTCGATGCAGGTGAAAACGGGCTAGAAAACAGGCATGCGCTAGCATGCTAGCGCTAGCATGGTAGCGCTAGCATGGAAGCGTTAGCATGGTAGCGTTAGCGTGCCGACGTGGGCACACCTCCCTGAAGAAGTGGGCGGATTGCCTGTGTCTCATTTGCATTTAAAGAGACAGGCACTCCAAAGCGAGCGCTCTGAACGGGGCTGTTTTGGGTTAGGGTTAGGGTTAGGGTTAGGGTTAGGGTTAGGGTTAGGCAGGGGGACTGAACTGCTATTGGGCTTCATCCTTATGGGATTCTGACCAAAGCTTGTCACAGACATTACATTAGGACACCAGGGAGCTAGCTTAACTTGTTGAAATAGGGTATAATATGTCTCCTTTAACCTTTGAGCACAACACACATTTATTCCCCTCCTGTGCAGTTTAAATACACATAAGAGGCTAAATCAGGAGCAGCTCAGTCATAAAACACAGTTTCAAAGTTTAAATTTCACCTGAGGCCAATATAAAAAGTCTTCAGTCATATGAAACAGTTTAATTCCTCTGAAGCTTCGATGTTTCTGTGAAATGCTGCTTAAAGGTTTGGTTTGGTGGGACCTGACTGCAGTTCCCTGTTTGGCCGGCAGGGGTCGCCAAACGCCACAAAAACCAGGCGACCGTTGGGCTCCAGAACATAAACATATATACATATACAGAACCTGCTCAGTCTTTTAGTTTTAGAGTAAATTTACACGGAATAGTTTGTTATTTCAGGCCTGGACTTGATTTATCTAAAGATGAATGGATGTTCATCAACGTGAACTCTCTCTCTACCTATATATATATATATATTATAAATGTGAATTTAAAAATGATTAATCAAAATCAGTTCAATGTGAATGTTTGTGTTCTTTATCCAGAAAACCCTCAGGTCACATCTACTTATCAGGATCTGGTTCCTATGGAGACAGATAACTTGTTAAATTTCTATATTTATATTACAGTAACAGAGTTACTCGCATTAAAGGCTGAAAACACTCAGCATTAAAGTCCAGACACTGGTTTGGTGCTTCCTTATATCGTAAACATCAAGAGGAAACATTTATAATCATCACTTTAAAAAATACAGACGTTTTTTGGTGCCTATTTGCTTTTTTGTGTGTGTGAGTGGGTGGATAAGGTGCATTAACTTAAAGCTTATTGTAGAAAGGCGCTTTATGGAGTTCAGTCCGTTTCCTTTTATTAGTTTACGGGCAGTTCTGCCACATCCAAGATGGCGGACGCACTGACGTATCCTAGCACACAAGGACCAACAAGAACCTTGATCCTTGCTCAAACTGCTCCAGATCGTAGGGGTCAAAGGTCACGATTTCTGTTCTCTCTATACAGTATTTATTAAGGAGTTATTGTAGGTTTCTGGAACCAATTTTAGGAATTACAGTGTATTGTATTCTGATGGAAGATTTGAACCAACACACCAATATTTAACACAGAAGTCACTCCTGGAACCAGTTAAATTCCTAGATAGAGGTTCTACTGTGTTCCTGGACAGCCACACAGTAAATCTAACACTTAAAGAGTTCAATTGAAACCACTGTAGGAGCCTAAATGCAGTCAATTTTAGTTGGAATATTTTTATTTAAAAATATGCAAACTCATAAGATAAATACTTTTTTTGTTATTCAAAATGATTTAAAAAAGGATCGAAATTTGATATTTACAGTTCATTTATATTGTTTGTGAATAAGACTTTTATTGTGAAGTTTACAAATCTTCCAGCAGGTCATTTACCTTCATGCCAGGGGAGCGTGGTCAGTTGGAATCGGGAGCTAGCGTATTTATTTTTCAAAATAATAATCTAAAGCTCCAATAAGGACAGCAAGAACTCACAACCCCTTCCAGGGTTCAGACCTGGTTCAGAGCTCCTTCCAGTTAGAGGATGACACGGGAGTGGATTTTCACTCCTGTCCCGTCCCACTCCCATAGAAAGACAACTTGTCCCGTCCCACTCCCAGACCAAAGTTTAAAAAATAATCCCATCCTATCCCGCTCCTGGTAAATTGACTCCCGCTCCCATCCCGCTCCCGTTTAAACTGACTCCCGCTCCTGTACCGCTCCCGTATATTTTTTATATATATATTTTTATATATAGCAAAGGGTCTGAGATCTTGGCTGCACATGCGAGCAATTTTGTCGGTCAGACGAGACTTGACACCCGACGGCA